GCGTGCGGCCGCGCCAGGCCTTCTCCCGGAGCCCGACCCGCGCGGAGCCTCCTCACTCACGCGGGCCGCGCGCCGCCCCGCGCCGAGGGGCGCATATCCCGCGCTCCCCTGCCTGAGCGGCGCGTCCGCCACCCGCCTCGCTCCCTCGGCCTCTTCAAGCCTGCCAGTCGTCCCACCCCTGCCGGGAGAGTACTTTAGGATGTCCCTCAGGCACCGGGCGACGACAGGGCCAGAGGAAACACCATCGTAACTCAGCGGCCGCAGCCACGCTCTCCTAGGAGAGCAGGCCGCTTGTTGCCGGGGCAACGGCTGTATTCTCGCGAGACTTCGGGAAGCTTTTCTAGTTTTCCCCCTAGCGGCAGCTTTGGAAGTGGTGAGATTTTGGTGGGAGAAAGTGATGCCAGGGGATGATGGGAACTCCGGGCTTGGTTTAGGGTTTGGAGAGGTTTGAGCGTTGCAGGCTGGAGGGACTTTACCACTGGGGAAAGCCGCGACAGCAGTTTGTTTCGAGTGACAGCAATTTGTTTGCGAGGTACCTGCGCAGAGAAGGTAGTAGAACATACTGTTTAAGGCTGTGTCTGGATGCTCACTTGACTTTTAACAACCCGATGACCATGGGCAGCTAATTTTCTGGACTAATCAGTCTGGCGGTTCCTCAGAAAATTGGACATAGCATTACCTGAGGACCAAGCTATACCATTCCTGGGCATACACCCAGAAGATGCTCCAACATATAACAAGGACACATGCTCCACTATGTTCACAGCAGCCTTATTTATAATAGCCAGAAGCTGGAAAGAACCCAGATGTCCTTCAACTGAGGAATGGATACAAAAAATGTGGTACATTTGCACAATGGAGTACTACTCAGCTATTAAAAACAATGAATTCGAGAAATTCCTAGGTAAATGGATGGAACTAGAAAATATCATCCTGAGTGAGGTAAGCCAATCACAAAAGAACATACATGGTATTCACTCACTGACTATTGGATATTAGCCCAGAACCTTGAATTACCCAAGATTCAACACACAGGCCACATGAAGCTCATGAAGAAGGAAGACCAAGTGGGGGTGCTTCGGTCCTTCTTAGAAGGAGTAACAAAATACTCAAGGGAGCAAATATAGAGACAAAGCATGGGACAGAAACTGAAGAAGGGGCCGTCTAGAGACTGTTCCACCTGGGTATCCATCCCTTGTGCAGTCACCAAAGATAGATGCTGATGTGGATGCCAGGAAGTGTATGCTGACAGGAGGCTGATATAACTGTCTCCTTAGAGGTCTGCCAGAGCCTGACATATACAGAGGTGGATGCTCACAGCTAACCATTGAACTGATCATGGGGTTCCCAATGGAGGAGTTAGAGTGAAGACTGTTGGAGCTGAAAGGGTTTGCAGCCCCATGAGGAGCGCAACAATACGAACCAACCAGAGCTCCAAGAGTCTAAACCACCAGCCTGGGAGCACTTAGGGAGGGATCCATGGCTCCAGTTATGTATGTAAGGGTGGAGGGCCCTGTTGGGCATAGGTGGGAGCAGAGATCCTTGGTCTCATGAAGGCTGGACACCCCAGTGGGTAGGAATTTAAGGGTGGGGAGGTGGTAGTGGGGGGGGTAGGTAGGGGCACATCCACAGAGAAGCAGGAGGAGGAGTGAGGGAATAGGGGATTCCTGGGTGTGTGGGGGGAATGGGGTAAGGGGATAACATATGACATGTAAATAAAACATCCAATAAAAAAATGAAGTAATTGTACTTGAAGTCAAAAGATTGAGTTGTGTTCTGCACAGGAGTCATGGTTATATGAGGGTAAATTCTCAAAAATGCCATCAGCTTAGAAATTCTTTGTTAGCCAACACTTGCAGAGCAGAGGATACCCACTCCCTGTTTCTGCTAAGGGGTACCATTTGGTCCCTCAGAAATCTGCCTGCAAGTCCATTACCAAATGTGTTCCCTTGACTTGAGTCACTAGAATCATAGCTAAGCTTCTTTTCTTAAAACTTATCCAATTGGCTATATTGTGCTATTGGAAACAGTAAATAGGCCAAGCCAGTCTTTATATATGGAATCTATTTTGTTTTTTTCCTGTTGGTCTTTACTCTTGGATAAAGGCCATAGGGTGTCAGGTGCACAAGATGAGGCTCTGAGAAACAACCCAGCCAGGCATGGAAGAGGCAAAGATAGGACTTAAATCATGTATGTATTGTGTATGTATGTATGGTATATATGTATGTATGTATGTTCAGCTCAACTATGTATATTAACATATGTTAAATATTTATAGAGAAGAATGCTATTAGTGCATAAGAGAATTACTTAGAAATTCAGCAAAGCTTTGAAAAGTCACGTTCATTCATTCATTCTTCCCTGACCTTTGCTGGTTAGTTTACATCAGAGACTATTGGCTGTGGAAGGCTACTGCAGAACAGTTTTTCATGGAGATTGCATCCTACTGGGAGAAAACAGTAACAGAACCATGCAGGTGAAAGTTGCTATGGAGGGAAAGAAAGCTGAGCACCTGCTGGGGGTGTGTATCTTGGCAGTGTAGTTCTTTAATTAAGGTGGGGTGGCCAGAGAAGCTCTCTCTCAGGTAGCATCTGAACAGGAGAATAAACCACATGGTTGACTAGAGAAGAGCTTGATGGAGTGGAAACACAGCCAGTGCTGAGGCCACGGGAGAAGCGCTGGCTGGGGTCAGTGTCATTTTAAAGACATATCATAAGGAATTCCCTCTCCTCCATCTAAATTAAAAATAGCCTTTGAAGCCTCTGCTTTACACGTTTAAAAATGAGCTTTAAAACATTATTTGTATTGCATTTATGGGCGCATGCATACTATAGTTCACGTGTGGAGGTCAGAAGACAACTAGAGGTACTGAGTCTGTTCTTCCTTTACATGGGCCCTGGGAATTGAACTCAGGTTGTCAGGAATGGTAGTAAGTGCCTTTTCCCCCTGAACCATCTCCTGGGCTGGCTTTCTTTCTCTCTTTCTTTTCCTTCCTTCCTTCCTTCCTTCCTTCCTTCCTTCCTTCCTTCCTTCCTTTTTCTTCTTCTTTTTTAGATCTATCTATCTATCTATCTATCTATCTATTTATCTATCTATCTATCATCTATCTATCTATCATCTATCTATACATACATACAGCATTCTGCCTGCATGTATGCCTTCAGGCCAGAAGAGGGCACCAGATCTCGGTATAGATGGTTATGAGCCACTGGCTGGGAATTGAATTTAGGATTTCTGGAGGAGCAGACAGAGGCTTAACCTCTGAGCCATCTCTCCAACCCTCATGGACTTTCCATTTTTAATTTTAAAGGTTTTTTTTTTTTTTTTTTTAGATTTTGATTTCAGTCTGGAGGACACACTGGAATTTGAATTCTTTGTTCTTAAGTTAAAATGAAAATAAGGCCTGAAGTAAGCGTCTCAAAGATGCACTGAGTTGTGCTCCCCTCTCTGGGAGCCCACCAGTGAAAGCTACTAGACAGATTCATATAACCAGTTTCAACTTTTTAGGAGGCAGATGGAGCCTGCAGTAATTCCCTCTTCTTTCACTTGACAGTAGGAATCACAATGCTTAAAAAAAAAAAAAAGAAAAGAGAAAAAGAATACGTAAATACTTACCTGAATTATCCCCAAAGGTACAGTCACTGACGTAGACAATCAGGAGCAAAATGTCATCTTGGTAAAGTGGCAAAAGTGTAAGTTATGTTAGGAATATAACTTATTTTGAATAATTTGCCACTTGGAATTTATTAAACAGACGTCTAGATAAGGAAACAAGGTGACCAGAGCATTCATTCTTTATGACATCATAGAAGTTAGTTATCATGGGGACTTTGAGGTCTTTTCATACAATTTAATTGATGAAGCCATTCTAGGAACCCGGAGCCAGAGGCTAGACAAATACCTGTCTGTATCTTCCTTGCGCTAAGAGCCAAACCTTTCACAGTGTCTCCAGGCTCACATCTTGAGATTGTTCTACTCAGCAGCTAACTCACTCTTTCGTTATTTCAAGATTTTTGCCTCCATTTTGAGAATCAATGGCATAGCAGATTAAGTGTAGATTTTGAAACTACAGTACCAAGGTGAGTGGCCTGAAATAAAATTCCATACCACAGTTTTCTTATATGACAGTGTTCTGAGCTTAAGGGTTGGTCCTAGTAAGTGCTATCATTTGTTTTCACGGACAGTGTTTGAAGCACACGTTCTGGGGGAAAGAGGAGGAGGAGAGACAGGAAAGGAGAAGGAAGGAGATGAAGAGCTGGGTTCTCAAAGCATGGTCTGCAGAACAGCAGAGACACCGCAGAATCGTTTGAAATGCAGGCTCTCAGGGCCCATCCGGACCTATGATGTTCAGATTTTACAAAATATATTAAGTGTCCCTTAAAAACACGCCACGGCAAAGTTCTGCTATTAAGTCTGAAGTGGAATGAAGTAAATGGTCAGCATTCTCTGTGGAGCTGGGATGGTTGAGCATCACACAGGCTACACACAGACTGTAGAAAGCTGGGAACAATACTAGAACAAAAACCCATGCCTCTTCCAGCCTCCCGAGCAAGCACCCAGATCACAACCTCGTGCTGCCAGACCTAGCCTTTACTTTTATTTTGAAGGAGAAATTTTAAAATGTTCTGTCAGTTGTTCACTTCTGAGTACTTTTGAACATTTGGTTAGAAAAGCCCCCATAGTAAGAAGTGTTTTAAATCTGAACTGTGGCAACCATGCTAACAATCGCTTGTACTCTCAGCACTTGAGAGGTGAGGGCTGGAGGGACAGGAGGGACAGGAGGGACAGGAGGGACAGGAGGGACAGGAGTCAAAGGTCATTCTTGGCTTCATCATGAGTTCCAGGCCAGCCTGGGCTACATGAAATCCTGTCTCAAAATGTTTTTGTTTTGTTTTGTTTTCCTTTATAGAGTGAAACCAACCGTCAATGTGAAGTACAAGCGCCTTGCCATCCTCTTTGTTATTATAGACACTTCTCACAGAAGAACGCCAACGCATGCATGAGGCAGAGACGGCTGGAAGAATTCCATTTATTGTGGATGCATTTTCACAATATATTTTTTTTATTGCAGCGATCATTTATCAGTGAGAAATATTAAGTGTTGCAACGTTTTTAACGATGGCAGATTCACAGAACACGCTAGTCAGCTTGCAGTTTCCTCTCTTACAGATAACAGAGAGCTGTAATCAAACAAGTAAATGAGGAATTTGCTTCTTCAAAGATTAAATCCAAATGGAGAAAATTCTACCCTAAAACTCATTGTCATCCAAATATTGGAATAAAAGGATCAAAACAGTCATTTCGCGACTCTGAACTTTCTTAAAAGCAAACACAACACACAGAAAGCCTGTGAGATAGCTGGAGAAGGCCTTTGTTAACTCGACCATGGCCCCTCAGCGTCTGCTTTGATCCGTTTTACCCCAATGATGGAAGTCATTTCCATGGGTGTGCCATGTGCATCCTATTCATCGTGTCATAGACCTGTGTCTACTCTGTCATGGGTAGATGACTTGTGTAGTCTTAGTGGCTTTCCTTCCTTTGGCCCAAGTTTGCAAAAAGCTAGGGAATCCAACTAACTCTTACTAATTCATGGGAAAAAATAGACTTTTCAAGGCTGTGGTTGCTCCTCAAGCTAACCCTTTCCTCTTGAAAAGAAAGTTGTGGATTGGAAATTTTAGAGGCTCTCCTACTGTGGAAGGAATGGAGACTAAGATAATTTTGGTTAAGTCAGCTGAGGTATGAGTTTGTACAATGACACTGTATGCACAAAATGTTCTAGATAAGAACATTTTTGTAAGATGCTAGAGTACTTTCCTTTTATCTATTGGGAAGAAGAAAGTCATAAGCTGAAACAGGATCTGGTATCTGAATGATGAGTCCCTAAAGACCCTTGGTGGGGGGGGAGTAAAACTATTAAAATTTACATATATTTTTCAGATTTCAAGATATTATCAACTTATGACAGTACCAATAAAGGCAGAACATTTTAATTTAAAGAGCGTGAGTCCGTAAGTGTAGGACTGCCATGCTTTTGCTCGCTTTACCTGCCTGCTTCTACATGAGCAAAGTTGGTCTTTCTTTAGACATCTACATGAATTCTAATTTGTGCATTAGTCACCAAAATGTTTGGCTCTAAGTGGTAGAGAAAGGAGACATCTTAGATATCATGCAGGTCAACTTTTTGGGGGGGGAGGGGACAAACTTCACGGTCACAAATAAGCAGGATTTGAGCTTTGTCCAGATGGTAGACTTAATAAAATTCACACTGGACTTCAAGACTGCCCTCAGTTACAAACGAAATACTATGTCTTATAAGAAGTTTCAACTAATTTTGACACCTGTAAGCTCTTTTTTTCCAATTTTTTTTTCTTATAAGTCATTGGACATTGAAAACATATCTATACCTAACTTCCATGTTTCTACTGGCAAATATGAAATATTAATATACTATTGTGATTTTTAATCTTCAAAAGCTGTGATATTGGTTAGTTACAAGGAAATACTATGAAATATAATAGTCTAGCACATGAAAGAGCAATCTACCATTAGTGTGTCTGTATACACGTATGCACATACATTACATAGTTGGGTTATCTAAATGTGTTTCAGTCTACTGTCGCTACCAAAGAAATCCACAAAGCAACTAACCTGAAAAAAAAAATCAGTACCACTGTCAGCTAAAATAATCACCCAATTTAGGTATGAATCAGCATAGAAAAAAAGCAATATCTCAACAGAACATCTTCTTTTTTTAATGAGACAATCATCACTGCCCTATATCAGATCTGAAGTGGATTATTTTCAGAGAGTTTTGATTGCCTACTTAGATAATTTCTTCCATGCTTTAGTCTAAAGTGCAGAAACATGATGTCTGTACTGAGACAAAACAAAGCCTACGGGTCATTTCCCCCCCTAGATACTGCATACATTCCTCAGACACTCTTAAGTTCTACTTCCTTTTGTTGACTTCCGATGTGGTTGGTGTCACTGTTCATATGACAGTAGCGAGTTTACTTCACAGCATGGGTTTCTTTAGAAACAGGCTCCTCTGCAAAGGCAGTACTTTGACCATGGAGATCTCTAGTTGTGGTTATTAAATATAGTGAGCATATACATGGATTTACTGGGATATTGGAAAACATAAATATAAACAGAGCGATTAGCCCTCTCCAACTGAGCTGGCCCAGCAAGACGGCTTGCAGTTGGGTTCTTTCTCCGATTGTTTCAGACCTGCTGAGAGAAGAGAACTTTAAACTGGCAGCACATGGTGTTTTGTGGGCTCATGGTACAATAGGAATAAATCTAAATGACACGAAAGGGAAGGCTGCTGCTGGCATTCTGTTCAAGTGTGACCTTTCGCTCCAAGACTCTTCACTCTTTACTTTTTCCTCGAGGTTCCTTTCCTACCTTGACCTTCATCTTTGCTCACAGCACTCAAAGTCAAGATGGATTTTAAGCTCTACAGTAAGGACTGGGAATTTCTAGTGTTCCACACTACTGAAAAGCCCAGTCAAGGCCACATCAACACTGGGACAGAGGGCATCATCCCCTTTCTCCCGTTTACCCCTAGTCACCTATTTTCTTTATCCCTACGTACTGATCCCTGAGACTTATCTGACCTTAGTCCATTCCTACTCCATTTCCCCTTCAGCCAACTGCTAAAAGTGCCTACTGAGGGTCTAATATCACACATAGTAATGTGTGATAACTTACATTTTCAAAGTATGGTGCATTTTCATTTCAAGGGAGTGGCCATACAGTAAGTAGGGAGCTCGGGGCTTTGGAGCAGGGATCCCTGACCTGCTGGCTCATTACCTCGGCTAGGTTGGGTGGTTTGACTGTAACCACCGTGAGAGACCAGTGGTAGACTAGTGAGGAAGGCAAGGGTCAGGAAAAGCAGCCTTTTCCTGTAGCACAACCCCAGGTACGTCCTCCATGCTGTCTTGTGTGAGAGGTGTCCTCTTAGTTCCAATATTCCAAGTGCTTTTGTTTTACCTTCCATAGCCCTAATGTGACCACAGGGACCTGATACCTGTGGTAGTGGATGGTCAACACCACCTACTCAGAAAGGAAGTATCATAATACTCGGACCACTACTTTGGAAGATATAGCTATGTTACCAGGATTTTAAAGTCTCAGGCCCACAGTTCATTCTTTGTGCTTAAAAAAAAATATATATATATCATTCTTCCCTTGTCACCAATAGAAAATTATGAAGGGAATTTTAAAAACATTACATTTTTTGCTAAATGTACATTCTTAAAATAAATATGAGTAACAGTAAAGAATGTAGGGTCAGAGTAGAACAAGTATTAGTGTAGGGATGTTCTTGAACATTAAAAAAATTATATTCTTTTTATATCTGCATTTTGACTGTATATATAATTGTGTCTCATGTGCATGGCTAGTGGCCTTGGAGGCCAGAAGAAGGTGTTGGATCCCCTGGTAATATAGTTACAGAGGGTTGTGAACTGCCATTTGAGTGCTATGAATTGAACCCATGACATGGGCAAGAACAACAAATGCTCTTAACCACTGAGCCATCTCTCCAGCCCCTCAATGTAGGTTTGGCTACTTGTGAGATGTGTTTCTTTATAAAAGTTGTTTAATCTCTCCGTGCCTCATTTTCTCCAGCTATAAAATGGTAATAATCCTACTCCTTACCTCTACTCGTTGATGGGGGATCACATGAGACAGTAACGGTGCCTGGCAAATAGTAGCTACTCCCTGAGTGTTAGTTGTTGACAATGGTGATCATCACTAGGTACTTTTTTTTTTTAGCATATTTAGCTAGCAATCATTTGAATAATAGAATTGTTTGAAGTTATTTCAAATAGAGCGGCTGGGCTAGTAGACGTCATTGGACAGAAAGAGTACTGTATAACTGAGAAGACGGAGTGGCAGATTCAGGCAGCTGTCCTGATCCAAGAGAGGACAAAACATGGGAAAGGAGGCCTCATTCCCTCATGAAGGTGGATCTCGGTGGTCTTCTAGCTGCCTTCAGGAAGCTCATTAGTCTGGAGTTTGCTGAAGAAGTCTCTATCCCTATCGATCCCTAGGGCTCTGCATTACTGGAAAGCAGACTGTTCTCACTGTACTGATTACTGATCTCTGAGGTCTCTTTCTGAGTTTTCTCCCTTTAAAGGACAAGGCTGGCTCTGTTTCTTGAAATGGGGAAGGCCACAATCAGGAATTAGCTCCTTATACAGCCAGCAGTACTGTTTCTTCCCTGAGCATCTGTTAAAATACCACACAGAGTATGTTTCTGAAATGTGCACAAACCCTTTTCCTACAAGACCAAGCATCCTTAGTCACTGGTTTTTACAGGGTAGCATATTTTGTCTATTTAAATTTTTTGCCATAGCTATCCGGAATCTGAGGCTATGGAAATGTCTCTTAGGACAGTTCTAGAAATGGTGCCAATGAAGGAGTCACATAATTTCTCCTAAGAGTTTTGTTTTCCCTAAAATAACTGTGTAGCCAGTCAAGGGCCTTGTATAGAAAGATAGACCATGGTTATCACATATGACCCTCTTGGCTAGATTTTTCCACAATTGTGACAACTATTTAGGAGTTGTCTTACTGGAAATCACTCTATGACTTTAAGCCATTTATGTTGTAAGCCTGACAGACCTGGAGTTCCAACGGCTTTGTAAATTGTCCTTTCTTTGGGCTACACATGGGACTTTTAGAAACTGATGGTCATCTAAGTATAGATTTATGAGTCAGGAATATTTCTCATTTGACCCCAGGCTCTGACACACGATTCCCCCAGTATATTACCTTAGTAGGGGAAGTGACCTTATCCACAGATTGCTTTTCCCAGAGGTTCCGCTTGCCAGATACATCTCCTGGCCTCAGGTCCTAATGAAAAGAAAGCAGAAATCATAAGACAAGTGACTATTAATATAAGTAAGCTAGCCACCACATCTACCATTTGTTCAGATTGACACGGTGTTCAGTACACCTTGCACCAAAGGTCCCAAATGAAAGAAGCTGTTCCCTGACTATGGACAGACCTTGGCCTGTTTCATGAGAATGGGCTGGCAACACATACAGCATCTGGGTCCTTCAATAACTAATCATTCTCCAGCTACGGACGTCCAGATTGCTTTCCCAAGAGGCAGGCTGGAAGTTCATCGTGCTTCTCAGGCCCACTCAGGCTTCAGGGAGCACACTTGGAAGCATCTGATCTTTGGTACTATCTGCATGGAATTAAATTCTCATAGCCCCTGTGCTGCTGATCTCACGAACATCTTCTTAGCTGGCCACCATCTCCCTGGCTCATTCCCTGTAGTGTTCTATTCATCCCCTAACAACTTTCCCATGCAGGATCATTATCTTAGGGTCCTGCGACCTGAATGAAGATGCTAAACTCCTCCTGTGTTTCTTGATGGCCAAGTGTGTAATCCAGGAGTGGATTAGTAGACACTAGCCCCACAAAAAATAAACGTCTGTCACAAATGGTAACCCTGAGAAGAGTGGGCAGTTGATGTATGTTAAGAACATGTATGAATCCTAATATGACCCATAGTAGTTAAATAGCTTTGAGTTCTTGTTTGCTAGTTCATAATTAATTTCATTTGTATAAGGGTCCAAATTTCTGTTTCATTTACTTTTCTTCTAGTGTTTGCTTATATTAGTACTTGGCACAAGAGAGCTTGGAGAAAATGAATGTGTTTTAATGAAATAGTAGTGCTTACTTTGGCAATGCCTTCTCTCATTAGGAAGGCAGGGCTAGAAACTGTAGTTTTCCAGGGATACCAGTTTTGACGAACATATTTCTAACACAGAGTACTGGCATCTTAACACTAAACATGCAGTGTTAAATAATTCCATGTGAAGATTTGTCATACTTTGAGTTTATGGGCCTGTGGCATGAGTTCCCAACATTCTATTAGAAAGCTATACCTGTTTAACTTGGAAACCTTAGGCAACAAATCATATTAGAAAAAAAAAAAAGAATTCCACAACATTTGCCAACGTGGGTAAAAGTTGACAAATTGTCTAGAAGACTTAAAAATGTTGGCAACTATAATAAGGAAGATGCTGACAGACCTCTAAAAAGTAGGTATAATCATTTATTTATTTGATTCATAGATGACATGTTTTTCTTTCACATGAGTGTTTCTACATGAGAAAGTGGATTGCATTTCCTTGAAATAGTGTTGATGAATCTTTCAAGATCACTTAAGGGGTTTAAATAAGGTGTTTTAAGAAAATATCAACATTCACATTGTAAGTCAGTATTTTCAAGTCAAAGAGAAAATATAAATGGAATTACCTGACCAGACTACATGTTAGAGAAAGACCCAGTCTGGGAGAAGAGGGAGAAATGAAGGCAGGAAAGGCAGGTTTCCAGTCAACCAGAGACGAAAGAGTGAAGAAGAGAAGCCAGCTGAGAAAGACATCATTCTCTTTTTTTTAAACAAAAAGAAAGACAAGTTAGCACTTTAATTGCTACATGACATACAGTTTAGACACCAAGAGTAGACAAACCAGCTAAAACATTCAGAATTTAATCCCAGCCACAAAGTTACTCTAGAAGCTTATAAACTCAACTCATAAATAGCTTGAATGCCCCAGTAGGACACATAAGGCAGGGCAATGTTTGATTTTAAATCTGCTAATTTACTGGAGGATAGTGCTAACAATTTTGAGCACTTGCAATTCTTAGCATTTCTGAAGATGATAGTGTAGTTACTATTTTTGGGTGATTTTTCTTATGGGGTTTAAAACTCAACACACGAATGCTAGGACTGAGAATTACTCTTGTTCTTCTTGAGGAGGTTCCACTATGGACAAAGACTGTTTTGTTGGAGTAACTCTTTCTAACTTTGATCTAATGGCCAAAGGAGACACACCTGTAGACAGCAAACCTTAGCTTTCTCCTCCCCTACCCATTGTGAGAACCAGAGAAATGAGTTGAGAGTAAATTGTATTCGGTCTAGAGTCAGAAGGTACTACTGAGGACTCCTCTTGGTTCTGCTTACAGATAATGTTCTAATATCCTGGGCTCAGGATCAGTCTAGTCAGAGCCCCAGAGATCACACTTTTGTGTCTTGAAGATGGAAACACACATGTCTGAAGAGGCTGGTGTAAGAAAGAGGGACAGGAGTGAATACATCCAAGAATATGTATTTCCATAGCTCAAAATGTGCTAAAATTATGACTTGGAAAAAAATCCATAATGGTGTGGGTTAGAGTTTAGCTTAGGGTTACCACTGCAACATCTCATGGACAGGACCTAAGATTTCTGTTTGACTTATCTCTGTAACCTACCATCCTTGGACATTTTGTTTAATAGTCATTACACATCTGCAGAATTCCAGTAGCCTTTTCCACACTGGAACTTTTATCTCCTTTCTGCTGGACCCACAGAAGCAGTGGGTCTTGCCTGTCCTGTCTTGCCTTGGTTCTAACTCATTGTCTTCTTCCAGGAGACTGCCATGTGACTGGCTGTAATATGGCATGGTGGGTGCTGGGTCAAAAATACTGCAAGAATATACTACCAGAGGCATGTGTGCAAAACTTAAAAAGGCTTAGTGAGCAAAACCAAACTAGTATTTTGCTTACGATATTAAATATGTATTTCTTACTCCAATCTGGTCCTTATTTGAAGCCATACAAATCCATAAGACCCAATGGAAAGAAAGTGATCACTAAACTCTAGAGTGACATATTCTTTCCCTCTCTGCATTCTCTAGATAAGTCTATGAATCACTTATTAAATGTGAGATAGTGCAGCCATTGATTTTATAAGTCCCCTGTATTACTTTTCTGTCCTGTCACTTTGTGGGAGGCCTTATCAATAGCCCCAGGAAGTGTTATTGCTAATATTTGGTGTGAGATCCTTAATATATTTACATTTATGATATTAGTGATATGAATGACTCCACTTACATTTAACACTTTTTAACCCTTCCACTAGGATGGGACATAGAAAATGAGAAGCTACTCAGGTCAGGTGCTGATAAAAGAATGGAGAGAAAGCCCTGGACCAGTGGGAACAACTTGGTTCAGGAATGAAATTGACCACTCATGCTGTAAATATGGGAGGAAAGAAGTGATGGTCTCCTCTAGAGAGGCAGGACGCCATGCTCAAAGAGAAAGCATTCATCTGTGTGTTCTTCCTTTCTTCCTTATGAAGGTCCCTCAGGGGAAGAGGTGTGTCCATGAACTTCTCAAATTTATAAGCTATAAAAAAGGTCTTTAGTTTTATTTGGCTATCAAAAGGATTCATAATTTAAAAACTAAAAAAGTTAGTAATCATGGGTCCAGAGCCATAACATGGATAGAAATGACCATAACTATTTTCTATCTAAAAATAATTTCTACTTTTTATGTCAAGATGTCTGGTGGTAGAACTCGAGGCCCCAAAGACACATCTGGGTGTGGTTGTCTTACCGCCCTTTTCTTCTTTTATTAACTCCATATCCTTACTTACTTGGGGGCAAGGAGGGGAGATGTTTTTCTTTTTTTAAAAAACTATGTATTTATTTATTTATTTATTTATTTATTTATTTATTTATTTATTTATTATATGTGAGTACACTGTAGCTGTCTTCAGACACCCCACAAGAGGGCATCAGATATCATTGCAGATGGTTGTGAGTCACCATGTGGTTGCTGGGATTTGAACTCATGACCTCTGGAAGAGCAGTCAGTGCTCTTAACCACTGAGCCATCTTACCAGCCCTGGGCGATGTTTTTCAATGTATATTTTTTCACAACTATAAATTGAGTTCACACTGGCATATAGCTCTTGTGAAGCCTTATGCAAAGATTCCTGGGTAGAACGTTAACTAAAAAGTGCAAGATATTGCACCCAAGAAGAGAACACAGGCATTTCCATCTCTCCCATGTAATTTGGAGCATGCCAGGATTTAGTGACCTTGGAGACTATATATAGAGCCAATGGATGCAATGAAATGTTGCAGTGGCTTAAAACACTTTAAATGCCTGGAATCTGGGATGTTTTTCTTTTTATAGAGTGGAGGTTGCTATGTTCGAGGCCAGCCTGGTCTACATAGTGAATTCCATGACATCCAGGGCTATAGAGAGAGACTCAAAAATAAACACAAAAATAAAAAATGAAACTAAAAAATGAATGTGAGTTATGACAATTCATTCTCTGCTACCTTGGTACCAGGAAAGCTACAGAAACAGCTTAGCAGAGAAGGCTGACTGGAGAGTGTGAATGGCTTGTTTATTCTAACAAGCAGAGTAAGGCAATTACATATATTCAATGAGAGAGTTAAAGGAATATTTGCATAGCAAGCTTACATGTAGTAAATGAAGTTTTTAGTTCCCTAAAACAATGTAGCTAGCCTTTAAAGTTTTCATTTTTACTGGTCATGGGAGAGGGGTTCCAGTTTTCCAGTTTCAAGTTTTTATGTTTTTTTTCCTTTGCAGGTGTTGAAAACAAATCATCCAACTTATATTACATATATAATAAAATATAAGGGCAATTATTTCAATAGCTGCTCAATAACTGTATTTTGTGTTAAGTTATAGAAATTAGGTAAAATTAGAAAACATGGTCTCAAAACAGTCAAAATATGCAATGTTTTGGGAATAGGTTTTGAAATACTTGGAATAGAAAAGTAGCCACAGTAGCATGGCTTTTGTTTTCAAATTCCTGTGTTTGATTTGTTGACTAGAAGCCAAATAAATAAGTAGGTAAATAAACAAAGGAAAAAAGAGATGAATGCAGAGGGTCTTAACTGAAGAGCCCAACACTGTTAGGCTAAGTTCCCCTCGCAGTCAGGCAGAGGCCAGGCTCTGTCTTAGCCTGCGGGTAATCGTGGCAGCTACTCTGGAGCTGAGTCTGCACGCCCACCGAGTGTTCCACAGCAGTAGCAGCAGGCAGGAAAGCCATCTTTCCTAGTTGCCTAGTGAGCCAACTGTTCTTTCATTTTGCTGTGGAAGTTGTGAGATCAGAGACTCAGAAATCCCCGGACTACTTACAGAAGGCTTGGGAGCAGGTGACTTGTTGCCATCTGGTGATTTAGTTAGCCATTCATTGATGCGGCTGGAAACTCCCACCTTCAGGCCAGCAGTTTCCTACAAACAAACCAATCATCTCAATTCTTAAAGAAAAAAGTACATTTACCCAGGAAATCTTCTGAGAAAACTCCAAGGTATCCTTAAATCTGCAATTGTTGATCTTGATTGTCAACTTGACTGAAGGAAAGATTAACTAGAGATGATGGGGAAAGACACTTAGTGCCCCATCTCTAGATGGCAGCACCTTCTGGCCATGGTCTGATATGAAGAGGGGCTGCTTTGCCTGTTTGCTTCATGGCTTGCTGGAAGTGTATCTGTCCTGTTGTTCAGTAACTGGCCTTCCTTTGCTGCCCTGGAAACCCAATGTTTTTACCCTTCCAATGTGGACTAAAGCCCCAACTTCATCACCAGATTAGGACTGCTGAAGCACCCAGCACTGAGGGGGCCAAACAACCACCTCCAGTGTGTTCTGAGCCTCTCCAGTGTGCAGCTGGCTGTTGTTAACCCAGCCTTCACTATATAAGTCAATTAAATAAACTCTCTTTTGTAATATATATTTATTTTATTGATTTTGTCCCTTTTGATGTCTCTGACATTGGAAATGGTTAAGAGAAAAGGCTGCTTTTCCAGGGGACCCAGGTCAAATTCTCAGACACACATAGTGGCTCCCAACCTTCTGTAACTGCAGTCCCAGAGGATCCAACACTCTCTTCTGACTTCTGCAAGCACTTGGCATGCATACAGTGCACAGACACACATACAGATAAAATACCCATACATGTAAAATAAAAATAAATGATAAAAGAGGATTATCAATTTTTCTTTCAGATCCCTTCATCCCATTCCAACACTAATGGCTAATAATTAAACTCAAACACTTCATTTAGTGGTCATGGCCACGGCTGAGTACACAGGGAGCCCTACGAATACATTCTCTATGAGCTTGTGTTTTTGTTTGTTTGTTTTGTTTGTTTTTTTGGTAGGGGTGCAAATCCAAGTGCAGATTATACATTCTTTATTGCATTTGTAGTGATTGAAGGCAATTCCTAACACAAATAGAAAAAAATCTATTCTTCAAAACTTAAACCGATGAGAGCCACACCTGTACCTTATTTGGTGTTCCCGAGGCAGAGGGGGATGAAAACACACTCCCTTTCTCCCACATGCTCTTGATATTGCGGACACCTTCAGCAGGAACAGGAAGATCAGATGCTGCAGGCTTCATAGGCTTTGAAGCTTTTGTTCCCTGAAATGTGTAAATAAGTTTTAAGAGAACGTTGAGAAGTTTGTCCTCACAAAATTACAGTGAGCTGGTCTTACTCAGTATGATCAACCGAAGCTATCATGGTGTGAACTTCCATCAGAAAGGGTTTGTCATTTCTGTTGTGTGACTCCATTCTGATGCTGCGTGTGAGCCTCCACACAAACCATCAGAGCAGAGGGTCTTTCAGAAAAGAACATTTTAGGACTCTATCATTACAGTGACAGAGGACGCCAATTCTTCTGATTTTTTTTTTTGGTGTGCATGTATGTTTGCATGTTCATGTGTGTCTATGTATGTGTGCATGTATGTGGAGGCCAGAGGTATGTGTGTGTATACATCTTCATATGGGCTCAAGTGTGTGTGTGTGTGTGTGTGAGACCAAAGATCAGTCTCAGGTGCCCTTCCTTAGGAGTTATCTACCCCCCCTTTTTTTTTTGAGTAAGAGTCTCTCATTGACCTAGGATCATGGATTCAGCTAGGCTAGGCTGCCTGGCCAGTGAGCTCCAAGAATCTGCTTGACTCTACCTCCTTAGCCCTGGTTTACAATGTGTGTGGATTTTTTTATGTGGGTTCTAGGGCTCAAACTTAGGTTCTTATTGCTTGAACTAGTTCCCAAGCCTCTCTGGTAGATAGGCATTTAAAAAAAATATGCATGTGAGTGTGTGTGTGTGTGTGGGGGGAAGAGGAGAATGGAGGAGACGGAGGAGAGGGAGAATGTGTATGTGGAGACCAGAGAATGATGTCCAGTGTCTTCCTTGTTTGCTCTCCCCATTATACAAGGCAGGGTCTCTCACTGAACCTGCAGTTCATTGATTCTGATAGTTTAGCTAGGCAGCTTGCTCCAGGAATCCCTGTCTCTGCCTCCTATTATGCATTTGTGGCTACCTATAATGTGTGTGTGTGTGTGTGTGTGTGTGTGTGTATTTATTTATAAAAAGAACTAGTGCTTTGTCTGTGAGCCAACTCCTTAGTCCTAGAAGACAGTGTTTTAGAACCTTGTGCATGTGAACTTTGCTAAGCTTTGTCAAAGCCAGTCAGTTTGTTCCATAAGCTACAGTAAGCTTGTATTTTGATAGGCTAAATGACAGTAGCTGGTATACTAGTGCTTCTTCTCACACTGTAGTAAATGCTACGAAAATAATGGATTGCAGTACAGTCCGAGAAGAGAGCCCATAATGGGGGAATGATATTTAGCTTGGGAACATAAGTCAGGCTAAGGGTACACTAAGGTAGTAACATTTACAACCAGATTCTACCAGAGACTCAGAAGCGGTAAAGGGGATAGGAGGCCGAATTCTACGAAGAAAGACAGACTGTGTACATGCCCTAAAGCAGGGAAGTTCTTTAAGACCGAGAGGCTGAAGCAGGACAGCATGGAGAATATTCTGGAAGGAACAAAGGATACAAGTAAGAAGGGGGTGTCTTTGAGATATTTTCTTGGCTGTAAACAAAGATAAGCCAGAGTGGCACAAGTGTCTCCGTCAGCCCTGGTTTGTGGCTGACAGTTTAGCAGGGATGAGTAGCATCTTCAGTGGCCATGAGCCTACAAGTCTGTGCAAAGTCCGAGGCCACAGTCTTGGCTTCATTCAATTCAATCAGAGAAATTAACTGTCTACAGTTTGTTATAGTTTAGTGGACACCAATCTTGTGAGTAAAAAAAAAAAAATCCCACCTTGGGTGTTGGTGCTTCATTAAGGACCTGATAAATCATAGGACCCTCTCTTTTTAATCTTGCTCGCCATCTCTGAGCCACTGTATAAGCATCTCCACTCCTAGTACAAAGGCGAGGAGAAGAGCAAACAAACCCAAGCCAATGACTTCACTGCTGATGCCCTGACACAAAAGGTCAACACCATTGCTCAAGTCTATGTAAACAGAACAGACAGACCAGCACCACATCTTGCTCACTGATGCCACTCTTTTGGTACAAGATGAGAAAGACACTTTGTTTCCAAACATAATCACACTCCCAGGTAAACTGAGTGGGAAAAAAAAGTTGATAGAAACCTAAAACTATGACCCCTTAAATACTAACCAACCAATTAAAGTGTAGGTTGATTAAACACAAGTTGGCGCTCATCTTGATGTTATTTTACATTACTGTGTTTGTTAATAGATTTCTGCAGACAAAATGGAAGATACATTTGTGACTACTTATAATGTATATATCAATGAATTTATTAGTGGCTGCAGAGAATGCTTAGTGATTTAGAATATTCGCTGCTCTTACAGAGGACCCAGATTCAGTTTCTAGCATCTACATGGTGGCTCACAACTATCTATAACTGTAGTTCCAGAGGTGCAGGCAAAATATCCATACACACCAAATTAAGAAATTGAAAGGAAAGGAAAATCTATTCATTGAATCCATTTACTTTTTTTTTCAAAGAAAAATTCAGACTGCAGGTGTTAAAAACAATCTATTTAAAAGTCTTAAATGTGCTTTTTCATAGCTACTTCATAGTTAATGGAGATCATTATTAATATTCTAACATCAGGGTGCCAGACTCATCCATCAGTCTAAGAGTTTCTGTGATCGTGTATGTAGCACAGCCTGTATCTGTTTCACAGGACTGACCAGGGACCAGTGCTCACCTCAATTGCATTGGTATACTGCTCCAGCCGGCTGTCAATCTTGGAGACCACTGCCGCTTGATGAGTAGATTTGACACCACTGCCAAATGAGCATAGACATGAAAACATGAGACAGGAGGATCTCTCCGTGTGCGAGACAGCTGATGAGCCTCAGATGAACAGTCAACTCTATTTACCTTTTCTGCACAGACTTATTCAAAAACTCTGCCCGTTCCTCTATCTAGAAATAGAAAAAAGAAAAGCGGTGTGAATATGCAGAGGAAACATTGTGTGGAAAAGTCCTAACTCGGGCAAGCTCTGAAGGGTGAAAGCCCGAGACACGACTCAATGGAGACTACACCAATGTGCCTTTGAAATACCTTCTGAGCACTCTCGGAAGGCAAGGCACACCCAGAAAGACACAGGTTTCACCTTTGGGCCTGCTTTGTGGTCCATGACTTACGCACAGTGCCCTTCAACCACATCACCATCATTCTTGAACCACCAATAAAAGCCACCTCAGAACAAGCGAGATGGATGGGATGGGATGGGATGGGATGGAAATGATGGATAATGGATCGAGGCTGGGGAAGCTAGGATTGGAAGAGGGCGAAGAATGCAGAGAGAAAGGGAGGAGGGAGAGGGGGAAAGGGGGAAAGGGGAGTTGGGGGAGGGATGGAAAGAGGGAGAGAAAGGAGATAGGAGAGAGGTGGGGGGTACTGGGAGCAAAAAACAGCCAGTAAGATGACCTTCCATAATACAGACCAATGACTAATTATTCATGTATTTATAGATATATCTGCGATGACATTTGGAAGTGGGTCTTTTGGAAGTTCATTGTGTCAGGAAGGTGAAATCCTCATGAATGGCATTAGAACACTGATGGAAAAGACAAGAGAACTCTCCTATTTTCTTGTTCTCTGGCACATGAAGGGACAGCATCAAGAATGTGCCCGTTTGTGGAGGAGGAAGAAAACCCTTTCTAGAACTCAGCAGTGTTGGCACACCGATGACCTCACACTTCCCAATCTCCAAAACTGTGGAAAACAAATGTTTACTTGGTTTAGGTTCTTGGTTGTTTTTTTGTTTGTTTGTTTGGTTGGTTGGTTGGTTTTTGAGACTAGGCCTTACTATGTAGTGTAGGCTGTCCTTGAATTCTCGATCCTCCTGCCTCTTTCTCCTAAATGCTGGGTTGACAGGCAAAAGCCACCATACCTGGCAAATGATAACTACTCAGTCTATACCAATCTGTTATGCTTATCCAAATTGACTGAGAGAAGGGAACATTCACATCTTATCAGCCTAGGCCAGGTCACCATAGTAGATCTCTGGACAGGGTAAGATATGGAGTCTTTCTTCATGTGTGTTACTTGGCAGACTAAGAGAACAAAGGGTCCTTCAGAATTGGAAAACATTTAAATACCAGTAGTAGGTACCACATTAAACATGATGAAGAACATTATGCCACATCTCTAAGACAAAATAGGAGTTTGGATATTTGAACTGAGTTTTATAGTTTACAGTTTCAAAAGTTTTGATATTTGAGCTGCGTTTCATAGTTTTCAGTTTCCCACATGAACTTTTGAAAGGGAGGGAGGCATGCATGAACTAGAGAGGAAGCTACATGTTTTATTTATTTACTTTTACAAGTCAAATACTTTACAGAGAGGGTGATGGGAAGTACAGTGCAGTACAGGCAGAGCTGCGCCTTGTTTGTATGTGTGTGGCTCTGCCAGCATCTTACTGAGGGTTGTCCTGCTCACTTAGGCTGTCCCAGGAACTCAAACGAGAGTGTGGCATACTCCTGTCCCTCCCTTTTGTATTTGGAATAGTTAGTCCAGCTTGACTTCATTCTCTTAATTTCCATCGGATGCACCCTCTATTTACTGACTCTTGCTGGAAAATGCCTTAACCGATTGCTCTAGTGTGGAATTTATGAATTAAATACTGTGCACAATATTCAAGGAAGTTCAGGAGGTAAGTTGGTGCCCCTGCCAGGAGGTGGCGGTATCATCTTAATAGAACTTAGGGAAGACAATACTGCTAGCTTTAGGTAATAAGTTGTATATTTTCTTTACCTCACACACTATTTCTCCATCAATAAACTCAAACACCAACAATATCAAAAGCCTTTAGATTTAATCTATTTAAAATTTGTTCTTTGTTTATGTTATCATTCATTGCTACCAGAATCAGGCAATGAGAACTCCTGTTTAGAGTTTCCCAGACAGTGGAAATCATAAGCAACAAACAAAATATACCATTTAGCACTATTTTGAGGTCAACATTCTACTGTTCCCTTCCCATTGGCAGTGTACAGTACCACCTGGTTGTCAGAATGGTTATAACCAATGCTGTAGTCTGGACAGAATCAAGAGGTATTAGCATTCCGTTATAGGATAAGCTGAGTTTAGGAAAATTCTAGAAAGTTGTCTAAGGAACTTGCCATTGGGACAAGAGGCAGACAGCGTATACCTAACTGCCCATCCTATTATGTAGAAATTAAAAATCGTCTGGTCCTTTCTGTACATCTATTTTAAATTGTTAACCTATGCAGCTCCATGAGAGAGAAGACAGAAAGGGGCTTCTAAATGAGAAGTGAGGACCCTCAGGAGCTTGGTAGAGAAGAGATAATTAAAGAGTAGGGGAGGAGGAGCCCCAGTTTGTCCAGAGCTGAGAATAGATAGGATCTAGAAGTTTCAGTGACTGCCCTCATGTTATCAGGACTGTTCAAGGAAGACTCAACTTGGGAGAGATTTTAAAGCAGGAAGAGAGAACATTGTTTTCTTTGATTATTTGTTGATGCAAGAACAAAAGAGCAGGACTGGGGACAGGCTGCCCTGGTGGCTGCTTGGAGATAAGCAGGGAGGAGGGAGGGCTCTTTTCCAGGGCTGGGTGACTTGCTTTCCTTGCTGTTGTTCCTTTTGTTTTTCTGTTAATTCCATTGATCCTCAAGCCATGTGTTTGCCACAAAGCTGCCAAACAATCAAGGGAAAACATTTATTGTTTTGTTTTGTGTTTTTAGATCAAGTTGCCTTGGAATTCACTAGGTAGATAGTCCAGGCTGGCCTTGAACTGGCGAACCTCTTGCCCTAGCATCTCAAGTGCTGGAATCAAAGGAGTGAGTTACCACACCCAGCCTTAAGCACTTTTTTAAAAAGATTTATTTTTTTTAAATCTTATATGTATGAGTGCTTTGCCTATATGTATGTATGTCTGTATTCAGTGTCCATGGAGTCCAGAAAAGATATTAGATTCTCTAGAGCATGGTTGCTATACATGGTTGCTCACCACCAAATGGGTGCTGGGACCCGAACCCAGGTCCTCTGCAAGAGCAACAAGTGTTTTTAGCTGGTGAGCCATCTTTCCAGCCTCCATTTTTAATAAAAATTTCCATTATTAAGTGGTTTAAAGACTATTTCATGACATAAAGTCATGAAATTCCAATTTCAGTGTTCAGAAATGAAGCTGTCCTATTGTAGGCCTTGCTGTGCTGGCCGTGAGGGCTTCCTGGTTTGGCTGTGGTTCCCTTTGTGAGTTCTGAATCATTCCCCATGAGATACTCAACTGTATTCATATCAAGAGGTAGCATGTTTCTTTCTCACAGTATGCAGAACAAGCTAGTTATGCTATAAATATCAAAAAAATTCAAAAATCCCACTCTGGCTCATATTGGTGTGCTGGATGGTTTTTCAACTTGACACAGGCAAAAGTCACCTGAGAGGAGGAACCCCAGTTCGCTCTATAAGAAAAATGCCTCTATAAGATCAAGCTGTAGGTGTTTTCTTAACTAGTGATTGATGGGGAGTACCCAGCCCACTGTGGGTGGTGCCATTCCTGGGCAGGTGGTCCTGGGTTCTATAAGAAAGGAAGGTGAGTGAACCGTGGGAAGTAAGCCAGTAAGCAGTACCCCTCCATGTCTTATGTACCAGCTCATGCCCCCAGGTTCCTGCCCCGTCTGACTTCCTTCAGGGATAAACAATAGTGTGCTTCAACATGCAAATCAAATGGATTTTCCCAAAGCAGACCCGAGATGAGTGTTGAAGTACAAAAGTCATGTGTTTCCTAACAATAAAGATACATTCTGAGAAACACTGTCCATTGGGCAATTTATCCTGTGAGCATCATGCTTCCTTCCTACTTACCGAAACTAGGACACCTACACTGTCATTTTGTACTGGTATTGTACATGTGTCTGCCATAAACCAAATCATTATTACCCAGTTGACAATGGTACTTTGGAAAGTGTTAGAACTGTAACCAAGCTGGGCACAGTGATGCATGCCTTTAGATCCAGCACTTAGGAGGCAGAGGCAAGTGGACTTCAAGAGACAAGTGAGTCTAGTTCACATAACAAGTTCTAGGACAGCTGGGGCTACATAGTGAGACACTGTGTCAAAATAAACAAACAAACAAAAAACCTATGACCAGCATTTATACCATCATAAAAACTAAGTGAAATTATTCGAGAAAACAAGTTCTGGGATCTGCGGATACCGTTCATGTAGTCGATGATGTGACCTGGAAGCATGAGGAACAATCCCCAGGTCCCATGCCCAGATGAGGTGGCATGTGCCAGGCCAAGAAGGGAACCTGTCTCAAAACAATAAAGGTGGATAGCTTCTAAGGAAGAACATTTGAGGTTGACCTCTGACCTCTACACATGTGCATATTCACGCATACATGTTCCTCCCCCCACAGATGTGTACCCCCCCACACACACATTCACATAAAAACGTTCTGACAAATAGGAAATATAGGTAATAGGGGCCTGGCTTTTGGTCACTTTCATATACTACATGTACATGTAGCCATGGGAGCCTGGCTGTGTCTCCATCTGGCTTTGGACATTATTGATGGTTGTAGTCTAGCTAGGATGACGGTAGGATGAGGACAAGATTCAAATGTTAAGGGTTCTCTGAGGATTCACTCACTCTTTTACTAGTTATCTTCAAATATTTATTAAATACCTTCAGTATAGAAGGTACCATACTGAGTATTCAAAGCAATAAAGAGACTTGGTAATAAATGCCCAACTGAGTCAGCTGCCTTTCCCCAACATCTCAACCACTCCACAGTCTCCCTGACTTTAGGTCCTTTTTGTTCCTGTTTTCTCTGGGAAAGCACTTCTACCCTGAAAGTTAGGAGCCATGATTCATGATGAGAGTAGTCAGACTGAATTCTCCCGGAAATGGACCCTGTCCAAGTTGCATCTCATCTATAGAAATAGCTTTGCAGTTTGTACCTGGACCAAATTCCAGTTGCTCTGCATTTAGTAATCACAAAATTAACATAAAAAGCAGCTGAAAGAGTCAGGGGTCAAATGTTTGTAGCCCTCCATATTGTGCTGTCCAGTTCCCAGTGTGCTCTATAAGAAGGAGTGAATTCCTTATGAATGGGATTAGTGCTCTTCTTAGAGAGCCAGAGGGAGCTGTGTGCCCCTTCTTTTCTCTTCTGTCACATGAGAACAGGGTAAGAAGATGCCATCTATGAAGAACCAGATTCTGAATTTGCTAATGCCTTCCTTGATCTTGGACTTTTCTGCCTCTAGAACTGTGAGCAATAAGTTTCTGTTATTTATGCTAACAAGCCTAAGATGTTTTGATTAATACAGGCGAGCAAAGAGTTACATGAAGCCAAGGAAGTCTTAGATGATCAAAAATTCATGGGGCTCTAATAAGATTCCTATGATACTGGAGAAGACATTTTATAGGAAGAAATTTCTGGGAAGATACCTTGAGAGATGAGCCTTTGGGAGTGAAGCACTTGAACGGCTTCTTGTCCTCAGTCAGGCCATCTTCTGGCATCTTCTGGCGTTTCTCAGCAGCTTCTGCCCTTCTCCTTTCGATCTCTTCTTTTAGCCTCCTCTTCTCTTCCTGAGACAGACAGAGCAAATAGCATCACAATGTGCTTCAAGTGCTGTGAGCCCAAGAGTGTCAATCAGAGTGCAACAGACTTAACCCTATTATGTATGTTGGTCTATCTTCTGGGGTGCTCAGGAGAGAATAACCCTGAGCACAGGAGTCCAGCTGCCTGGACTTGCATTCTGGAGGGGCACTTTCCATCAGTGTGCCCTTGGTCTGACCTGCTACCTGCCTCAGTTTCATCATTTATAAAACAGGATCACAGCAATCATCCAATGTCATGATAACTAGTTTAGAAAAACATGTGTGAAATGTTTAGACTGCCACTCTGCTAGACAAGTCTCCCTTGAAGGTGACAGGTTACCATCACATCTTGTAAGTCACTTAATGGCAGTCTTCCACTTCTGAATATGCAAAGGAATACAAAGGCCCCCTCTACCTGCTTCCAGGAAGAGTTATCAAGATGGAATCCTTTGTGTAAAAAGGGCTATAAGTCTATGGTACCAAGTCTAGCAAACTATATGAGTCTGACAATTGGGATGATTTTGTGGTAGCCCCTGACTCAACTGAAGACATCATTTTAGGTGGTGGCCTCATTGAAAGCTGGAGTTGGAAGCGACACTGGAATAATTAACTTTCCACACAACTTAGGGAAACTGTGGACCATCCTTGTCAGAAAACAAACAAACAATGAAAATCTTTTCACATATTTTGAGGGAATAGGAGCATGAGGCCTGGAAAGTTCTAGGCTCAGGAGCTGGAGAAGCAGGTTCCCCATGCTTATTCCGTCAAAACATCTTCAAACAAGTCACTCTAATGATTAGATTCCTGGCTCCTTTCCCCATTAAATGAGAATTCCCCAGGATGAAAGGGAAAAAATGCACTTTGTAAACCGTAGCAATCTAAGCTGAGGCTGATGTAGCATATTTCTCATGTTCTGAGGCCAAGTTTCCTTCCTTCTAACGTGATCTGTTCCGTGCTAAGAATGGAACAAATGCATCTGTCAACTGTGACAGGGCTCGGGTGGCACACCAAGCCCCATGTTGGGTCCTGGTGTACAGCAGTGAACAAAGCAGACACCATCCTAGCTTCTGTACATTCTAGTCTGCTTGGAGAAACGTTTGGGCCAGGGAGATGGCTTAGCAGTAACGTTTATGGTAGGAGCCTTGAGACCTGAATATGATCCTTGGAACCCACAGAAAATGAACAAGGAGAAAATCAACTTCACAAAGTTGTCCTTTGACCACCACACACAGGCACACACAAACACACACCACACACACATCCATATCACACACACATGCATATCACACACACACACAAAACACACACACATGCATATCACATACACACACAAGCAATAATCTATAACATTTCTATGAAGACTTCAAATATTGGACATCATATAACAGCTATTTGTCTTTTCTGTCTCTTCTTGTTTGATTTTGCCTGTAGGCAGAGTTTCTCTGTGTAACCCAGGCCAGACTGGAACTTACTACAGAGCCCAGACTGTCCTGGAACTCAAGATCCTATCGCCTCAGCCTTCCAATGTTAGGCTTCCTGGCACACACCCACCACACCCTGCTTCCTAGCTTGGCTGTGAGGTGGTAGACTCTTCATCTCTCTCAGATTTCCCACTGTTCTTTATTGAGAGGCTATAGAGAACAATAGACTAAGTGGGAAAATTTCACAACTTCCGCTGCGCCTCAGTTTCTTCATCTAGAAAAATGGAGACACAAGTACTCAGGGTTCAGAAACATGCCAGTGCCTGCTAAGTTTATCACCATGATAAGTTATTATTATTTTATCAATATGAGGCAGGTCTCCTGTAACCCAGGCTAGCCTTGAACTCAATGTGTAGAGAAGGAGGATGACCTTGAACTTCCGATACTTCTCCACCTCCTGAGTGATCCACCACCCTGAGGATTACAGGGGTGTTCCATCACTTGGGTATATGTACTGCTCTGGATTGAACCTAGAGCCTTCTTTGTGCACGCTGGAGTGAGCACTCTACTGACGCAGCTATCAGGTTCATTACTGCCCAACAGCACACACTTGGAAGAGCATCAGGGGACTCCCTTGGCAGGGGGTGGGAGGGCTGGTCCTCTCTGGGCTACAAGGTCATGAGCCATGCACTTAAGGATGTGGGGACATGCAGGTTTCTCCTGGCCAGGCAGCCCTTACCTCCTCTCTAGCTTTCCGATCAGCCTCCTCCTGCTTCCTTCTCTGCTCCTCTTCCTCCAGGACCTTCCTTCTCTCTTCCCTCTTTTTCTTCAGCTCTTCCAGCTCCAAGGCTGCCTCCTGTTGCTTTTGTTTGAGTTTCTCGAACTCTTCACTCTCCGTCTCCCCACGGCGTCGGCGCAGCTCCTCCAGCCTCTTGCCGGCTTCCACTTGTGGGGCACCTTCGGCTTCTTTGTCCCCACTGGCCCGGCCTCCTGAACGGCTGGGGTTGAGGGAAGAGGAAAAGAAAGGCAGTTACCCGGTTCCGTCTTGCAGCCCCCGTTGGAAGAAGGTGGGGTCTGTCTGCAGGTGCTGTAGCCAGGCACCTGATCCTCGAACCAGCCCTGGGGTAGGTTGGAGATCTATGTGGAATATAAGAACTTTACAAATGTCTCTACTAGGGCAAAGTAAAAATGGTGCACCTAATGTGGAAAAAAATCCCATATCTGTGTATCCTTGAAAATAGTAATACTGTATATATGATCCAGACATACCACTTGGCATATATTCAAAAGAACTAAAAGCAAAGTCTTGAGATGATTGAACACCTACATTTAGTGAAGGGACTCTGGCTAGCTTGAGTGTAGCCTGCATAGCTCTGGCAGGCGTTGTCTTTCTCTCCCATTCCCTCTGCCTTGCTTAAAACCATTAGATTATGTTCCTAAAGCTAGCCACCAAGGTCTATTCCCTTGTTTGGACACTTCCTACTCCTGAGTTTGACTACTGTCATGGTTCCTATATGCTCAGTCCAGGGAGCGGCACTATTAGGAGGTGTGGCCTTGTTGGAGTGGGTGTGTCACTGTGGGTGTGGCCTTTAATACTCTAGTCCTAGCTCTCTGGAAGCCAGCATCTGCTGGCAACCTTCAGATGCAGATATAGAACTCTCAGCTCCTCCTGTACCATGCTCCTGCCTTGATGATAACGGACTGAACCTCTGAACCTGTAAGCCAGCCCCAATTAAATGTTGTCCTTATAAGAACTGCTTTGGTCATGATGCCTGTTAACAGCAGAATAAAATCCTAACTAAGACAACTACCAAGTTCCAGCTATCAAAGTCTAGCAATCAAAAGCCCCCTTTGGCTCACCTAACTAACACGCCCAATCAAAACATTCCATGGCACCGCAACCCATGCTAACACAGACCTTCTCTTTTCTTCTTCTTAAAAAATTACACCTACAAGGTCATTGGTTCTGTCTGAGTCAGAAAGCAGCCACTTTAACTCTCCCCGCTCCCCGATTAATATAGGATTTCTGTGAGAACTGGTGTTTCGGTGCGGGTTGTGCCTAATCTGGGGTCTAAGCTGGGTCTCCTTCATTCATAACAACATTTTCCACAAGAGCCAGGAGGTAGGAGAAATTTCTGGGAAATTTTTCCTAATGACTGTATGACTATATACTAACCTCTGACTCTAAGATGCATTTCTACCCTCTCCCACCCCAGCCTAGCTGGAGTATCCTTTGCCAGGATCTAAAACTACTAAGTTATCACTGATATGGTATGATTAGGATGGTTACCAAAGGTCAATGGGTTCATTCATTGTACTGTATAAATGTTTACAAATGTATTATCTCATGCAATAGTCATAATAACTGGGAGATGATGATATTCATAAAATGAGGGCCTGAGTTTAATCCCCAGAACCCATGTGCAAAAAGTTGGGTGTAATGAGAAGCAGAGACAGGCAGCCAGCCTGGAATGCCAGCCCCACCTACTCCAGGCCAGTGAGAGACCCTGCCTCAAACCCAAGATGGACTCATGCTGAGGAAAAACAAAGTATACTCTGTTTTCATTAGTGAAGTCACACATGCTGGATCCTCCCAGACCTGGAGTGGAGGAGAACTTCATGGTATTCTTCAAGGGCCTTGATAGGGAGTCTTGAACTGAGAGACAAGAGATGTAAAATGACTTCTACTTAAGTACTTTTAAACTCATTGTGAGGTCATTACTGATTAGATCCAGGTACAGAGATCCCACCCCTGACACCTTTGTCGGGGACCAATGAACCCCCACTGTTTAATGTTTATTTTGCCTGGTGATGGATGGCACAATGCCTCTGGCGATGGAGCAAGAGAATTAGTAAACCAAGAAGGGGGTTCAGGATGCAGTGCACAGAGCTCGTCCTGTCTACACACCTCATGCTCTGCACACAGAAGTACTCTGGAATATACTGCCTTCTCTAGGACAGGCCTTTCAGGTTTCAGGTAAAAAAAAAAAAAATCAATAAATCAATTTAGTAGATTGGCCTCAATATTTTAAAAAGTGAAAAAAAAATGAAGTGCATTATGTAGAGGAAACTATATTTTGAAACAACCTTTTTTTTTTAAAGCTACAAACGTGCACATGTATGCTTTTGTGGGTGAGGGTCATGATATAAGTGTGTTTGTTAATATGGGCTGAGGTTATAAAGTATAAACATATTTTATCTAGGTTCTTGATGGTTCAAGATGAACTCTCATTTTGAACTCAAAGGAGATTAAAATGCCTACAAAGCTCTTTCCGTGTTACAGGGTCACAAGCCTCCTCTCAGTGAAGCTCTTTGCAGCTTTTGATAGTTTGCTCTTTCTAAGAGCATGTGGTGTGGATGAGAAAATGGACGTTTCTCTGGGATCCACTAGGTGTCGCTCGGTCTTTATATAATCAAAGTGTCTGTCCTGAGGCTCTGGTTCAACCAGTCTTGCAGAGACAAACCTCACATCAGGAAGTTCAGGCTTAGATTTACTGGCATAGAAAGCTGGCTGCACAGCACTGTCATGCATGGTGCAAAGCTAATTTAAAATGTACATTCCTGATTACATTCAATTATATGTATATTGTATGATTCTGTGTATCTATCTTGAGTGATCCATACATAAAAAAATATCTGAAATAAATGTTACTGTTGGGTTAAAAAAAAAAGTCTAAGAATCAAGTCAACTTTCACCCAAACAGGAGTAAGACTGGCTATACTGCCTCTACCTATACATGCTGGTAGGCTCATAACATAGGGTGGTATAAGGTAATACCTTCCAGAAAGTTCTGTCCTGTCTTTTGCTTTTGTAGATTTAAGGCAAATCAGATACAAGGCCTATGTAGAACCGAGCTTGCTTTTTTTAGCTCAGCTGGTAGATAAGCAGACACTGACAGATAAACAAAAGTCAATTATATTGTAGTAATTTGTTAAGTGGTCTTTCTCTCTGTCTCTCTCTGTCTCTCTCTCTGCCTCTCTCTTTCTCTCTCTCTCTCTCTCTCTCTCTCTCTCTCTCTCTCTTTCTCTCTCTCTCTCGATGTGGGTGTACATTCCTAAAAATGGGAAAATAAAACAGGTGTCCCCCTTGGTTCCCTTGCAAATTTACAGAGGGCTCTTAAAATCCTATGGTAAAGAGCTATTTGTGTCTATTTTATTGCTAGGCCCTCAACCTAGAACTGACCCTAATACTTGCATGTAATTAAAATGGTATAAAAGCAAAAAGGAGGAGGGGGGATGGGATAGGGGGTTCTAGGGAGGGAAAATGGGGAAAGGGGATGACATCTGAAATACATTGAAATAATACATGAAATAAATAAAATATCCATTTTTTTAAAAAAAGAGCTGTGATTTGGGTTAACCTAATATGTCCCAAGTTTTCAGACCACAGAATAATACCCACTAACAACCTTTATAAAAATGAACAAAGAAAGGTTTGTAGGAAATAGTCTGGACCATACAAGGCATGAACCAATGATATTAATACCAGTTATGATATTTCTTAATACACTGATACCATATGAGTGTATTAGGTCAAAACACGGGCACTAAGCACTAGATCTCTTGCTATTAAAAGAAGAAAAAGGAAATGGAAGAGGATTAAGCTGTGGTTGAGCAGTGAGTGCTGGTCTACTGTTAGTGACAGGGTATCTTTAAGACAATGGCCAATGACCTCAAAACAGAAGAATGTTGTCTGCTTAGCTCCTTTCTGTCCAGAGGCACATGACAAGGAGCCCATTCTCCCTCCTACATAAGCAGAGATTCTTAGATAGTCACGCCTTACCTGAAAGCATTCTCAGTTTGTTTAAGTTTGTGGGTCATAAATTCTCCATTCTGTGCCTTCACATCTGTAAATCCTTTCTTTCGATCCAAGAAGCTCTTGACTTCTTCTTTGGGCTCTTTGTCCTTTTTAATCTTCTCATCTTTGATCTGCCCAAGGATACATACCAAGAAGAGAGATAACTATAAACATAGTACTAGGTTTTAGCTATTTTTAATTAAGACCCCAACTTTTAAGGAAGTCATTAGACTTGAGGTAGAGCAATCATCCAGAACATGATGTAGAAACAGAATCAAGAAGATTATTAGAGAGTAAATCATGGTCCTTTGGCCTGTGAGACAGACCTGGACCATAATGTTTGGAAGTCAAGATCCTCTGCTGATCTCACTGGGGTTTTTATTTGTGGGAGCAGCACTGTTGTTGTTTTTGGAAACTATCTAGTCCTGAGAACTCCACCTAAGAGCAGTTGCCCACAGTTCCCCCTAGGAAGAGCAGTTATAGGTCATTTTGATGGAAGAATGGCAGTGTAGCTTGACCAAGTTTCCTCTTAGCTAAAGGGAGCATCTTTGATATAAACCTAATAAGAAAGACATAATACGAAAAGCCAGCCAGTGGTCCAGATCTGCCATTTCTGGTGCTTTGGTCAAATTTGTATGGTGTCCCAAGGAGGTAACAAAACCTACCTTTAGGGGAAGGAATTAGAACCATGTCTGAAGCCACATAAACCACTAAAATTAGCAGGGGATAAGAATAGTTTTAGGGCACACATTGATGTCCATTGGTAGGAAAGATTTAGACCTCCAAAAGTTGGTTTGTGGTCATTGTGGATAACAGAGGAAAGGCTATCTAGAAGGAAAGTGGGCCTTAGTATTTTTGTGGTTGTTGTGTTGTAATTTTTTCATTGGTAGATGAGACACATTATTTCAAAGTGGCTTTTGAGATGGGCCAAGAGTTCAAATTACTATCTCATCCCTTCTTAAAACATGATCAGGAGAGAGTGACCTCCACTGTCCTGAGACAGTTGTAAAGAGCTGGTGCTCATGTCTCCCTTAACCTGACCACTCACTGCTTTCCAGCGATTCCTGACCCCCCCCCCCTCTGAACATGTACTCCTAAAAGGCATGTTTTACAAGGTAGAATGGCAGATTACACGTTACCTTTTATAGTCCTTCGCCTGATAATCTTCCTTAAATGGCATTAAAACCACCATGGATGGACTACTCACCAACACTGCTCCAGTTAGTTAAGACTTCCCTCCAAGGCGGGGTATACAAGCGCGTCCCTTGGTGATCCCAAGCGACTTGTGGGCAGTCTACCCTTATTCTCAGGACAAAACTTTCTTAGAAACATTCCTAATGTACTAATGATGACTTGTCTTTGACTGAAAGTTATTTTCTCCTAACGATGCTAAAGAAGGGAGCTGCACTGCTGTTTCTATGCCCTCTCTGGCAGATTTGTCTGCAAGCAAGGAGGCTAATGATTCTAGGGCTATTAACAACCCAGTTTCTCTGGGAAGTTCATCAAGATACAGTCAGATGAAATGACCACTTTTCACACCCCACCCTCTTACTGTCCTCTTGGCGCCTGGGTGATTATGAGCAAGAGGAGGAAGCTCGGGCCCTGTAGAGCAGTGTGATCATGAGGCTTGGTGACTGTCCTCTAGAACATACCAGTAGTCACTGAAAAGGCAGGAGGAGACAGTATAGTTTCATTTTGGCCTGTCACTGTTGGATAGAGCCTCAGAAACCATGGGCTAGAGTTCACATCCTGGTTAATATGTATCTGGGAATACAGATATAGAGGTGAGGGGAGATATTCCCAGGGTACCCATGAAACAAATTCTGAGTCAAGTCTTATGGCTTATGGTGGCAACTACATAGGTAAATTTCTTTTAACTCATTCCTTTTATTTTGAAGTCAGGAATATTTTCATTTCCCCAAAAGGTATTATCAGATTTACTGGCAAAAATAATACTTAAAATAGATTTGTTAAAAGCATAGTTGACTATGAGAAGAAGAGCCTCTCACTCTGTTTGTTGGGTGGTCCTCCTCATACTCTCAGGGGGAAAACATTCTCAGAAACATTCTTAATGTAATAATGATGACTAGAGTTTGACTGAAAGTTATTTTCTCCTGAGAAATAGATAAAAGACTCCATGGGATCTTTAAAGTTTAGTTTAAAGAATACAATGGATTAGATTCTATGTCAAGTTCATGGCAAGCACACAGCCTTCTGAGTCCCTGGGAACTAGATCTTTTAGGATGGAATGTTACCATGGAAACAGATCTCTGCTGAACAGTCACCAGGTGATCATGAGTGTTGGAAGAGCAAGCAGGCTTCTTCATTCACAGATAACGTGGCTGTACTTCTAAGACAGCCTCTAGATTCTTAGCTGTTTGGATGAGACTTTGTATAGTCTTTGGGATACTTGGTGGGAGAAAACATGAGCATATGGGGATGTGGGAATTTAAGAGGCATGACCTTAGGCTGGAGAGAACTCAAAAGCCCAAGGGAACACACAGACTCGCCCGAGAGAGGAGTCTCTGTATCCTGCTACTCTGCACGATAAAGTTGCAGAATAACAACAAGAGTTGGATGTCAGTTGCAGGCCTTTATGAGCTTCAGATCCCTAAATCCTCATCTGGATCCCTGTTCTACCCCACGCATGTCCTCCTGGCTCCTTCTGAAATTTGGTTCGTGGACAACTTAAGATCTTCTGCAGAGAGCTTAGGCTCCAGCTTAAAGTGACTGAATCATTCTTTAACCAAATTCCTGAATGCATCTGCATGCTAAGAATATACTGTATGTTTAGAACACAAGGGCCTGGGTGACAGAAATATTAGGTTCAAAGTCACAAAAGACCCTGTGGCTGGCTGGCTTTCTTTCTTTCTTTCTTTCTTTCTTTCTTTCTTTCTTTCTTTCTTTCTTTCTTTCTTTCTTTCTGCCTGTCTTCCTTCCATCCTTTCTTCCTTCCTTCCTTCTCCCTCCCTCCTTCCTTCCCTCCATCCCTTCTTCCTCCTCCTCTTCCTTCCTCCTCCTCCTTCCTCTCCCTCTTTCTCTCCCTTTCCCTCTCTCTCTCTTTCTCTCTCTCTCTCTTTCCAAGAGAAAAAAACCAAACAGAAGAACTGAAAAGAGACAACTTGTAATGGAGGAGGAGAGACAGAAACTTAATTATGTCTCAGAGTTGGAGATCATCTGCACCCTGGGGCTGTCACAGAGTTCAGCTGCGAGGAACACAGGGGGTTTGTTTATTTGTTTGTGTTTTAAAGGACAGGAGGGACTTTGGGAAATGCTTCCCCTGCAAGGGCAGAGGAATGTTTGTGTTTACTTTCAGTTGGCCTACCCTGTTTACATTGTGTGGATCCCTAACCCTGCCAGGAAAGGTTTCTGTTTGCTTTTATGTGATAAAAATAAAAGAAAGAAAGAAAAGAAGGAAAAAAAGGAAAGAAAGAAAAGAAAGAAAGGTAAAGAAGAAAAGAAAGAAAGGGGAGGAAAGGAAGGAAGAAAAGAATAGGGAGAGGTTATTTAAATGTCTGAACCATGCTAAATGATCTAAAATTGCCTATATAACACACCAGTCCAGCTAGCTGGAAAGGGAGAACTCGATCCATTCAGTCAGCAGTTCATCTATATACAGTGTTAAAATCTTAAAAATCAATCTTTTGAAAAACCTGATCGGAGACGATTATCTAGCCTGGTATAAAAAAGAAGCCGGAAGTTATGAGGGCTGGAATGTGCTGTTGGGCAAACTGGGAAAGGGATTCTGGCAGGCCTGAAACCAGCTATTCCCTGGAGTGTTTGACTGATACCATGGACTTTGCCTTATCTGAAAAGAGGCAGAGGGATGACTGAGGATGAGCCTCTTCTGACTCAGACATGGGCGTGGGATGCTTCGGCCGTTACAAGTAAATCATTATCTGGGGTAACTAAACTTTCACAGCAGCAGAGGGCATTCACTGCAGCCCCCACTCCACATTTCATCACTGAGTTGCGGATCTCCTGCTCTCTTCCCGGGTATGACACTATTTGAGTTTAGTTCTGAGACAGCTTTGTTGTATAGATGGACCTTTACTCAGTCCAGGGTGTTCAGCCGTCTGTCTCCTTAGCTGCCTGGTAGAGCTAAATTCAGTTTCCGGGTCATCAGTACTTGCACCTTCTCCCTCCTTCAGATAGCCAGGGCTCACAGTCAAACCACAAGCTCTACTAGAGCAGAGAGGAACGTAAGTCTTCAAGTAAGTACACAGGGTCTTTCTTCTTATGTGAATCTTACAAAGCCACCTCAGGGAGCCACCCACATGTTACTTAATACGGCCATCTATTTTCTACACATTTTCTTTACAGTTCTGGATTTTCTTAATGGATGCTCTAACAGAGCAAGACTCCATCTGGGCCAGTACCCTGTGGCTACAGATCATTTCACCAGTCTCTTGGGACTAGTGAAATTCAATTCAGGCATTTCTGTGTCTGCTGGTTCTGTTTTACCACATCCAACTGCTTGAACTTACTGGATAACATGGCAATGTGTAGTGTCACCTGAGGCTATCATAGGCGGGATGGTTAGAACCAGGTGAGGCTTTCTGCCGGGGCATTATATCCTGGAGTGCTTTGGCACCTGTGTGCAGAAGCCTCACTCACTTACCTATGAGCATCCCGGCACCAGCTCCCCTGTGTGTGTGCCTCATTAATGCAATGCAGAGGATTTGGCCAAACTTGGCTTTTTGAGAACCATCTATCATCTTTAGCTCACCGAATTTTCTACTAAGATCAAGGTGTGTGTGTGTGGGGGGGGGGCACGGTGTGCTTTTCAATGAAAAAGTTAAAAACGTGTTAATGGAAGCCAGCTGGAAATATTTCATGATTGAAATGCAAGCAGAGAAGAGTTCACAGAAACCAAAGTTACACTGTAGGAGCAGGACGTAGGCAAGACTGAGGAGCAGGGCTGTCCAAGTTCTTGACTGACAAGCACTAAGAAAGATAATTTGTATGAGAACGCTGTACTACTGCCTACATGCCATCAGATGCATCTAATTCCATTTCTTTATATTTTTTGAACTAACAAATGTATATGTGTATGAGTGTATATGAATGTGTCTGCACACGTGTGTGGTATATGAGTGTGTATGAATATGTGTGTATGTGTGCATGTGTGCAAGGTTACAGGTTGATTTTGGATGTTGTCTATTGCTGTCTCCCATAACTTTTGAAACAACGTCTTTCAATGAAGCCAGAACTCACTGTTTGGCTAGATTGGCTGCCAGTGAGTCCTGGGACCTCCTACTCATCTGGTAAATGACCCCCCTACTGCCTCCCAAAGTTGGAATTATAGACACTCCCCTACACCATGCCCAGCCTTTTATGTGGGTGCTGGGGACCCAAACTCAAGTCCTCCTGCTTTAGTGACCAGCACTTTACTCACTGGACCGTGTCCCCAACCTGATTGATTAGTTCTGAGACACTATACTATGTCACCAATGACTCATAAGCCAAGGTCTGGAAACCACAGGAGAGGAGTTGAAATTCCAAGATCAGATCCCGGCATTCTGCTTTCCGTGTGGCTTTAGGGTATGATTATTCTTAACGACATTTACCTCTTCCTTTTTGAAGGCAGGCTTGTCATCTTGGGGCATTTGTCTTTGAGCTTGCCCTTTAACTCCCTTTTCTTCTTCCTTTTCCTTTTCAAGAACAGTGAAGGTCACGTAAACAGAAGCCCTGTCTAGCTTGCAAGAGTGAAAGGGTGCTCAGATCACTCTGCGTGGGCTGTGATGTCTTTGTGGCTGTCTTAGTGACATACTCAGACCACTTGGTGCCAGTGGTACCTGGTGCTGGTGGTTTGTCACCAGGGGTGACAGACGTGTCCCACTCCACCCGATTTTTCCCCCGTGCCTCCCACTGTGCTCACTGGAATCTAGCATGACATGATGTTCCAGGCATTGACATCCTGCTCATGGTTTTCTCAGTTACAGCCATGTGCACAGGCCCCTGGTACAGAAGCAGGGGTGGAAAACAACTTCAGTGCAATGCAGTGGCAGAGGGCTCACTCTGGAGAGGTGAGCGTGCAAGCATTTCTCTTGTCTTTTACAGCTCTTAGAGGGCTTTTTTTTTTTTTAAATGCAGCCTTGCAGATAGGAAAAAAAGCCCACAAAACTTTTGTATTTTACACTTCCTTCCCCAAATGCCATCCCCATCCTTCCTGAGCCACATAGCAAAAAAGAGCAAACTACATACTCTCAATCGGCCATCAGTTGTTAACTGGCACTACTCCAGACAAATGGCTTTCTGCAAGTCTACACTAAACCTGGGTCTACATGATGGCAAGTCAGGCTTTTGAAGATGCTTTTTTGTTTATTTTTGTTTTTGTTTTTGTTTTTGTTGGGGTTGGGGAGCATCCAACACTCTCCTTTCTCTCCTTGATTACAGTTGACTTCAAAGGATTTATATTTTTATCTAAAACTAAATGTCCAAACTTAATTCTTTATTTCAACTCCCCAACCCCTAATTTTAAAGTTAACAATAAAAACTGCTGTCAAATACCAGATCGAGGTACGGGCCTCTTGCCTCATGCACACCCAGGGAAGATGACAGAAAGAGGGAGTCCAGATGCAGATGTACAAAGACGCTGAAAGAAACATTCAGCATCTTTGGGCTAATTCATTTTTTTTTTTTTTATAACCACAGCACCCAAGCACAGAGCAATTGATTTCTCTCTGGTTGTCCCATTAATTTGGTCGATTGCATACTCAGCCGTGGTTCAATTGCTTCATGCTTGGGTGTTTCTATGGCCTGTAAAAAAAAAAAAAAATGAATAGTTTGCTAACTGATCAAGCACGTGAGGCGATGTGCACGAGGCCTCAGCCCCCGGTTGGGTGTGCATTGCATTTCTCATGAGTCACAGGCATCACACAGTAGGTGCACAGTGCTTACTGTACCTGCTTCTTTGGGACAGCTGTCTGCGGTCTGTTGTCTTGCGCCTCCCGTCCGTTCACCCCTTTCCTGTCCGCTTTCTCACCTCCCTTCTCCCCCTTGTCTTTGGCCTCTCGCGTCTCACTCCTTTGCTCCTCCAGATGCTTTTTTTGTCTTTGCTCTGCTATCCTAGCCTTCTCCTCCTCCTCTGCCTTGGCCTTCTTTTGCTCCTCAGCTACTCTCCTCTGCTCCTCCTCCCTCCTCGCCCGCTCCTCCCGCTCCTCGGCCTCCCTCCTCGCCTGCTCCTCTGCAGCTGCTTTCTGTTCGGCCTCCATTCTTGCCTGTTCTTCCGCTAGCTTTCTGTCGTGCTCAGCTTTGATTTTTTCTCGTTCTTGTTCTTCTGCTTCCAACCTCAGTCTCTCTGCCTCAGCTCTCTCTCTCTCTTCCTCCTCCATCTTTTTTCGACGGGCTATCTCCTTGTCTGGTTCCCCACCCCCCTCTAGTTTGGACTCTTCCGCGCTGACTTGCCCGTTTTCCAGTACCATCACCACAGCTTCCGCTTGGGTTTCTGGTGTTTTCCCTTCTACCATCTCCTCTACCTGATTTTCGCCAAGTCTCCCTCCCTTCAGCTTCTCTTCCTCCTCCTCCTCCTCCTTTTCTTCTTTCTTTTTGTCTTCAGCATCCTGATAGCTGTTCTTCTGGTAGGACTTGATGACCACTTCTGTTTCTTCCACCTCATACCGTCCTGAGCGACTCTCTCTTTTTTCTTCCCCCTCTGCTGTCTCATTTTCGGCTAAGTCATTTTGCATTCTTCTGCTTGAGACTGAGAGACTGCCATCTGTCACGGTCGGATCAAACTCCTTCTGACGCTCTAAGGCTTCCTGAAGGCGTTTTTGACGTCTCTCTTCTCGCCTAGCCAGGCGCTCCAGTAAGGCTGCCTCCTCATCACCTTCTACCTGAGTGTTTGCAGTGGCTGGCTTAGACTCTTCATCAGGAACACTGCATGACAGAAGGAACAACACCAAAGACAGCTTGGTTAATCAACCATACAGAGCCACCCACAAGCCAGAGCAGGTGCCAGCAGTATCCAGCTCACATGCCCCTAGATGTTACCACTCTATGCTTCCAACTGAGCCTATCCAAGTCCTCGCTCTTGGACTTTCTCAGGTCTCTGTGTCCCCTCAACTTGCTATAGGAGCTCTGAATATTAATCCAGAGCTGAGGGGCATCATCATATAAATACTTTGGCTTTTCTCTGTTTTAAAGGATAACTTGACAGCCGTGGCTCCTACTGGAGTTATACCACTTATGCTGGAAAGCGACTTCTACCTGGTTGCCTTCCCTCCTGTGTCTCGATTAGCTAGACCCCAAACATCGTTGTCTGAGGTTACCATACAAGCAGCCTACTTGCGATTAAACCTTGATTTCAGGATCTGTGTCACTGTGGATCCCAACTATGACAAGGATCAAATCAGAATAATGAGTGAATTCTGTGAGTGTCATAGTTCCATATTGATGCCACCAAGTCATTCTTGATCTGGATCGGTGGGGCCTGAGGTACTTGAGGAGGAGTGTGGAGAGTGTGAGAGTCTACATTCATGCCAACAATCTTCACTTTGGAGACATCTAAGTGTCCTCCATAATTCTCGGGGTAATGACTGCCAGTCAAGGATGGCATTTCCTACCCTCTGCCCTCCCTCATACCTAAACAGGACCAGGTAACTAAAGAAACGTAAGTATAAACAGTGCATCCAGGACAACACAATTGATTAGGTGTGTATTCTCTATGTTTGCCATCTCTGTTGGTGTTCAGAAGGCTCTGGATGGTGAGGGGATTGACAGAGCCACAGAGGACAGGAAGACTCCTGAGGCTCACTGGGGAGTCAATCTGGCTGAATCAGTGTGCTCCAGGTTCAGTGAGAGACCCTGCGTTGAAAAATGATGGAGAGGCAGGTATGGTGGTACATACCTTTAATCCCAGCAAAGAAGGCAGAAGCAGACGGATCTATGTGAGTTTGAGGGCAGCCTGCTTTGCATAGCAAGATTCAAGGCAGCCAGTAATACACAGTGAGGTCCCCCTCTCTCAAAAACTAATATAATAAAGCAATAAAAATAAGACAGCACTTTATCCAGTACACAAAAATATCCACAGTGCACTTATATACTGTGTTAAAATATTAAAACTGTCATAGCAACAACATTACCATAACTAATCTAGACAATCTAACTCCTTTGTACAGATTTCCAAGAATAAAGAGCCTTTTCTCCTTTTCTCCAATTGGGTAAAGCCTGGCTAAACCCAATGTTTATTTTTAAAAGAAAAAAAAAAAGGAAAAATCCAAACTGTAGCGTGTCCGTCATCTTAATCACTCTTCCAGGGTGCTGGACACTGCCCAGACCAAGGGCGTTGGCCCCTCCTGGCTGGAATTACCAGTCATGTGATACCAGAACTGTGACTGGAACTGGAAGCATACGTCCACAATGTTTAGAAACTCCATCAAATTTCATGGTTCATACCAAACTTGGCTCCTCTGATATTCGAGTTCACTTGGATTTGGAAAAACACATCCCATAGTTAACAACAAATATTGCAGAGGAAAGCCTAGATTTTAAGCCTTGTCGGCCTCTGCCATTGCTGGAGGACATTGTCACTGTGAATTAGCCACACACAGATTACATGGCTACAGGAATATGAAGAACTGGGAGGTCAACGGAAAAGGTCTACGCATAGGATGTTTGGACCAACTGAATTCTAATGTTTTAAAAAGGTACTGCAAATTCCAAAGCGCTAGCCAGACAAGAATACTGTTAAGAAATCCACAGACTCCACTGAGCCTTTGTTTTCTCTCTTTTACAGAACCTGGTTAACAGCCAGTTAAGTGCCAGTTGAAGCTGCTTAGTCCCAAGAAGACTTTATACTTGTAGGTAACTAATATGCCTGCAAGAAACCAGGTGCTCAGACCTGAATGTATTTTCCTTAAAAACCACTTTTTTTGTTTTTGTTTTAGTTCTTTTGATACAGGGTCTTGTGTAGCCCAGGGTAACCTTGCCCTCACCAAAAAGCCAAGATTAACCACAAACTCCTGGTCCTCCTGCTTTAACCTCCTAAATGCTGGGATTCTAAGCATGTGCCATCATGCTTAGCAAAAGAATTTTTCAACTTAGGTAATCTCATAAAATAGCTAGTAATAAAATTAAAGCAGAAATGGCATGTAAGTAGAAACAAGACTTTTGTGTATGCTGCTGACTTGGTTATATTTTTTTTAAAGTGAAGGAACACAGTTTGCCAAGTTGGGATTCAAAGCTAGTGAGTGAAATCCAGTGATCGTAGCTGTCCCTCCTCCACTCCTCTTAGCTATACTTCCTCCCCAGTTAGGGACTAATTACCAATGACCAAGGTTTCTAGCATCTACGTAAACATTACATTTTTTATAAAACTTGCCGAATGCTTCAGCATTTGCAAGACCACCCTAGGAAATGAGCTGAGGAGGCCATGACCTTTACCTTGAAAAATAGACCAAGTTAATGGAGCTATTAACAGCCTCTTCTTAATATACAGTAAATAAAAGAAACAAACCAAAACCACATGTAGCTTGGACTACATAGTGAGTTCCAGCTTGGGATACCCAGTCAGAAACCACCTCAGCAAAACCGAAACCAACCATTAATGGTTGCGTTGGTCTGAGGACGGAATGATGTGCTAGCAAACTCCATTCACCGAGACAGGTGAACATACAACCCAGGGATGCCTCCATGAGCGGAGGACAGTACCTGTTCTGGACATGGGCCTCCACCTGGTCTGCCACCTGTCCCAAGGACTCTTCCTCTTGCTTCTGCCGCAGCCTTTCCTGACGGGCTCGGCGGCGCCGTTCCCTGGCGGCCTCTTCTTCATCATCATCGTTTCTCTGATAGGCAATTCTGCAACAATATAAAGACAGGCACCTGAGCATGCCAGCTGACAAATGTCATCATCAATGTCCTGGCCAAACAGCCTGGAATGCCTACTGATGGACCAGAATTCTTTCTAAACGGACAGTTCATTTTCTCTAATTCGGACACCCAACCAATTCGTTTTCAAACTTTTTTTTTTTTTTTTTGTATTTGAAAAGCATCATCCAATGACCCAGGGGATAATTTACATTGATCAAATAAACCAGAACATCTATACCAAAGCGGGCTGCTTTTGGAGACTGTGGGCTAGCATATTTGCACTTCTGTACTGAGCTAATTATCACATGCAAGATTTATACATGGAAACAGCAAGTATTGAACCCAAATAATCAAGGTATGTATTAAAAAGAATTCGATACATTGTTTGAACTAGAGCCGGCTCTCATACAAAGACCAGAGAGACTGGAGTCACACTACAAAACCAAGACTCTGGTCTAATAAGCCAAAGTTGTTCATTAAAAAGGAGGACACTAGATATCTTCTTTGGTCAAATTTTGTTTTCCCCTTCAGTTACTTTATGATAGTGTCTGTGTGTGTGTGTGTGTGTGTAATTGACCACTGGTAGGTAGCTTCAAAGTATGTGCACTGTGAGAGAGTGTCAGTTAACTCAAAGGTTCCATATTGCTCACTAAAACATGTATTAGTAGCCCAATACTCTTATGCTGTGCTGTGTGTGTGTGTGTGTGTGTGTGTGTGTGTGTAGACTTGCATGTGTATATGTATTTGCATGCGAATGTATACACATGCCTATGGAGGTCCTGAGGCTGATGTTAGGAGTCCTCCTTGAAGGCTTTTCGCCTGATTCATTGAAACAGGATCTCTTAGTTGAACCTAAAATTCACTTATATGGCTACATAGGTATCTTGCTTCAGATGGAATTACAAGAGAGCTACCATGCCTACCTACATTTATGTAGGATTTGAACTCCAGTCCTCCTCCTTATGTGGTAGGTGCTTTAACCACGGAGCAATCTCTCCAACCCAAAGCAAGAGATGTCTCTATGTGGGAACAAACTTTTAAAATACATGCAACTACAAAACAATTAATTTTCATATTAAAGAAAACAAAATAGAACCATAGTCATACAGTCCATGACATGTGAGTAATGGTAGCTTGTTCATGTTAGATTCACAAACTAGGCTTGCATAGGCTTAGATCCAGCACCTTTATCTGTGTCATCTTTTTCTTCAACAATATTATTGAATTATAGTATTGAATTATACTATTGAGTATCATTGAGTTACAGTATTCAGTAATACTATTCTAAAGGTTAGCTCATTTGCTTTTCGTGACTTCAGAAATTCTGACTTTATGCTTACTAAAATCTGCTAGTGTGTCAAATGTCAATATAAATAAAGTGTCACTATATGTGCACATATGTGTTCTATCTATTATAGATATTCTATTAAACTAAGTGGTAATTGTCCACAGATATGGAAGGAAGAGTAGAATGGTAGAATTAACGTATGCCTAGATTAATAGTCAGAAAACTTGGTTCTCAGAAGGACTACTTGGTCTTTGATCAACCTGTCATAAGTTCCTTTGGCCCTAAGTGTGTGGCAGTCACATAGAAATGCTGGCTGTGTTACACTAGAGCGCAGCAATGGGTGCCATCATCTTGTTCAATGTTAGACAAGTTCAGCTAAGGAACAGCCTTGTAAGGAAAGATGAGTTCAATTCTAGATGTGTTGAGTGTGAGGTGACAGCATGACACTACACAAATGTCCCTTTCTAATTCAATTATGGTGTCATTGGCAGGAGAGAGCCCTTCCCAGTGGTTTGGCTTCAGCCTTCAAATTCTTGGCCTAATATTTCTTTGGCTTACTTCTCAGTAGACTGCTCAAACCACAGCAGAGAGAACGAGTCCTTAAAAGCTGCTTCTCAAACTAATCAAAGAGGAATTCTTAATTTGGTCTCTCCATCAGATCAGCCATGAAAGCAGTCTGTTTTGCAGCCTTCTTCTTTTAAGACAAGCAAGAGACGTGGAAGGTACATGTGGGGTACCCCCATGCTAAAGGCAAAGCTCTCCCTCTTGTAAAGCAATCAGATTTAAGCCAGTGTTTCCCAATATATGTGAGATGTCACCATCTTCCTCCTGCCTACTCTGTGAACTTCATGAGTTGCTGACTGTCTTTAGCTGGGAGATAAACTAATTTTGGTACTATGGCCAGGTCACAGCCAGCCTTCCTTCCTCTGTGATTTCTCATTGGAAATCCAAGGAAAACCTGAGCAAATGCCACCATCTCTAATGTCTCTTCTCATTCTTCTTGCTTCCTGTATCTTAAAATCTAAGGGCAACCCACTAGCTGCTCACAACCCCTCTTCTAGGATACAGTTGCTAGAGGTTGCTTGGGAATGATCTTTTACTGTTACTAATAAAATGAGGAATTAAAGTTGTTTATCAAGTTAAAACAACAACAAAGGCACCGTCATGGTGTCACACTATTTCCAATCCTAATGGCCTAGATTCTGGATCAAAAGCATATCAAGTGCAGTAAGTCAGAGGTACATTTGGTAAATCATTTGCCACACAAATGTAAACACTGGTGTTACAGTCCTCAGTACCATAGAAATGCTGCATGGATGTGGTGGGCCTTTAATCCCACCGCACAAGAGGTAAAGACAGGGAGACACTCAGGACAAGCTTACTAGCCTAGTTGAATCAGTGAGCTCTGAGTTCAAATGAGAGACCCTGCCTCAGTTGAAGGTGGAGAGTGAGAAGATGCTGATTATCAAAACCTTGGTCTCCTCATACATGTGTACTTCCTGTACACACATGAACACACAGAACCACACACACATACACCATATACATACATACTCACATAATACACACTCAGAACTGTACCACACACACCGAATACATACACACTCACATGAACACACTCAGAACTATACTACACCACACATACACCACATACATACACACATGAGCACACTCAGAACCACACATCCACCCATCCACACACCACACACTTACACACATGAACACACTCAGAACCACACACACACACCTCACATACATACACAAACACAGTCAGAATCACACACACAGAAACACAAAGAGAGAGAGAGAGAGAGAGAGAGAGAGAGAGAGAGAGGGAGGGAGAGAGGGAAAGAGGGAGAGAGGGAGGGAGTACAAAAGAGTACATATCAGTTGGCTTTATAAGTAAAACCATGTGGATGACAAACTCTTCAACTGGGAGACTCCTGTATTGGCTCCTCGGAGAGCCAAGCAATTGGTGGCTTATAAAAAAAGCAGTGGATCTTTTGTACATCCACCATGGATTTCTTTTTCTTTTCTTTCTTGTTTCTTTTTGTTTGTTTTTTGAGACAGGGTCTCACTATGTAGTCTATGTAGTCTATGGCTGTCCTGGAACTCACTCTGTAGACTAGGCTGGCCTCAAACTCAGAGATCCACTTGCCTTTGCCTCCAAAGTGCTGGTATTAAAAGTGTGTGCCACTATGCCCAGCTAGGGTTTAATTTTTCTTACTGAAAAAAGAAAACTTAGTAGTTTGCTGTTCTGAGTCTGAAAGTAATGGGCTCTTGTTATGTTTTAAGACTAGACAACTTCCTAATGTATAAAGACAAAGGTAAATTAGCTGCTTAGAATCATTCCAACTAACTCTGACATGATGCAAGTTTGATGTATGTTTTAATTTCTAATAAAGTGGGGTCATGTTATATGTATTATTTCACAGTTTTTTAAAATTAAACTTATTCATGGCTATATTTTAACACATCAACAAACTACATCAATGGAAACAGTACTTTTATATCTATATACACCAGATGGTAATTATGCAGACATGTTATAATCTAATATTTCTCCTGCTGGATATTAAACATGATTCCCCAACTTTATGTTCCTATAAGCAGTGGTGCAAGGACTTCAAAACTGCTCAGAAGTTAGAAGCTTGAAAATGTTTTCTTTGGAGGCCATTGATAAGCTGGCCTTCAGAAAGGTAACACAACTCCAGTGATATGTGGGCACGCCCACTTCACCATCACACAGAATGTGTCCAAAAGGACAGACACGGTTGCAGGATCCTTACTGTATCTGCTATAGTAGTAGCTATGGTTTACATTAAAGAGGGTTAGCATCTCTGATTTCCCACACACCGGCCTTAACCTTGTTTGAAACGCTGCTGACAAACAAAATTCCTATCTAACCAGATGGTTAGAGATGCGTAACGTCCCCATGAAATTTCAGCAGATTCCAGTATTAACCAATCCATAAAGAAAAACACCTTTTCTAGACCATTCAGGAGCCATATGGGATTCTGTGGTCCTCTGAAACAACTGAGAAGGACTCAGCTACATTTCATACAGTTTTAATCAGATATATTTCATTGTGATATTAAAAAAATAGGTAATCTCTAAGTCTACTAAGCAACTGTTTATTAAATAAAACAATTGGGAGGGAGCCCATGAGCTCCTGAGCCATGCTGGCTCTAGGAGGGTTTATGATGGAGTGTTATGCCTTGTTTCTTGGCAACTGCTTTTGCTCATCACTTGGTCACAAACATCTGGAGATGTGGTCCACCTTTCCAGTGAAAGGTCAGTGTAGCTAAGAGCAAAATGACTCAGCAAATATTTAGGACAAAGAGAGGGACTCTACCATGTACTCACATGCAATACTCACAAAGGAGTGCAGACAATCGCCCAAGACTGTAAGAATGACACGCTATCCATGACAGGGAAAAGTAGAGGGCTGGTGTTTCTTCCATTCTCAGAACCATTGCTTACAGGCCCTGGTATGACTTGATAAGAAAATTCAAATCTACATACCAGCAAAACTCTCTCCTAAGGTCCTGGCTGTTCCCAAGAAAACTAACTTAAGTCTTGTGACACCAGACCTCTGCTGCCTCCGTATAGGACCAAGTTAAATTCTGGTCCTTTGAGATAGAGAAATTTATATAAATAAAAGCATTCAAACATGACAAACAAATCACCGAGGATTCAT